ACCTGTATTAAAGAAACTTGGCGGTGTGCTGGTGGTAGGAAGCACAGATGAAACAAACATCTAGGATACAGTCTCAGGAATATTGAAAAGAGAGAAAAGCAGTAACAAGCTTTCTAGTGGATTTCGACCCAATGAATAAGAAATAGCATTGTTCCAGAATTTCCAAACTACAAGGAAGTGGAGTACCTGGAATGAAAGAAAAAATTGTGACCATTGAGGAAAAATCTCATTATCTATGAATATGGCAAGTGTTGCTGTAAGTGGCTTTAATAAGATATTGCAAGGGTTATGATGCTAAATTTTCTTGTGATGATATCAACAAGTAAAACTTAGTTTCTTGATTTACTGCTGTGGAGAATTTTGTTATTTAACCACATATATGTACACAACCGCACATGCACATGTATGTACTCACACCCCCTACATTCACACTCACATGCACACTCACATACATGCACATATACTAATGTGTGCATGTGTGTTGGATTAAGTTTTGTGTTATAGAATATGTTGATCCATCAGAAATTTTGGGGAAAGGGGAATCAGTGGTGTGTGATACGTACAAACGTGCTTACAAATATGACATTCATTTGGAAATCTTTGGATGATTATTCTCTGATCTTGTGTTTTGTAGGCCTTTAAGTCTAATGACTTTGTCAATATCAATTGTCAAGTATTCTCTGACATTGTAAATTGGTTTGGAATAATAGTGACTCCATAATTGATATAGTTATACATATGGACACTGATACCACTTTTGCAAATATTTTTGGAAAAGCACTTATTGAAAATGAAAATTATATTGAATAGTAATAAGAGGTTTTGTTTTATATGAATTAATGAAAGCTGCATTAGAGGAAATGTATGTATGCATAGGGTTGCTGTGTAAGCTTATATTTTATACTTCTTAAATATCAAAATAACAGAGTCAGGAAAAAATACAAATAAACTTGTAGTTCATGCTCAGAAGTCTTTTGTATTGTGTTATTTAGCAAAGAAGATGAGTTTGTATACTTTTCTGCCTAAATCGAAAGGTATTGACAAAATAGTGTTACAGGAAATTAAAAGTAGTAGGTTTGTTAACATGGCAAAATATCTTCAAGAAATGCAACTTTGGACACTTGTACTTAAAATGTTTAAAAGAGAAGGGACTATTTTAATTGTAACGGTAATTTTTTGTTTTCTATGTCCTTGATATTTTTGAGGGATTTCCATGGCTTGAAATACATAAATAATTTATGAATTTCTCATTTAATTTTGGTAGGAATTATACTTTTATTTTCAATAGTTATGACATACTTGCAGTTTATTGTCAGTGTTCTTGATTGTATTGAGTGGTTAATATTAGTACTTTCTGTCATCTATGTCTCAGTGGTATAGAGCTCTTAAATGCATTACACAAATTAATCATGAAGAATTCCATGTCTCACCCTGTTCTTTGACAAGTAACTTGTGTGGTGTACTTTGTTTTATTTCATTTTTTAGTCTTTATTTTTTTTCGTCTTTGTATTGTAACCTGTCATTATAACATAGAGATATTTTTTGACCTCTCTTAGTTTTAAAAGTAGATGAATTTTACAATAATTGTTTGGCTACATTTGTTCAATTATCCTCCCATGTTTTTGATGGTACACTTTCATTTGCTTATTTGATTGAGTATCGGATTTTCTGCAGAGTGAAAAGTAACATTAAAAGTACGCTGATTGATTATGATTGATTATTGGCTATCTGATTTTTTTGGTAACAGTGATTATTAGTCAGATTACTGATCCATCCAAGTTATTACTGGTATTTTTGAATGGAGAATTTTTATGATTTCTTACAGAATGTGTGGCTTGAGATTACACAGAGATTATTACATTGATATCTATATTTTAGTCCACGAATGTATATATCAAAGAAAAAAAAAAAAAAAAGCAGTGAGGTGTAAGCAAATATCACGAAAAAATAGAAACACAGAATGGAATGGTCAGTCACAGGGTTGGATTGTTTGTGTCTTGTTGAATATTCAGTAAGTTGACCAGCTGCAGTCTGACTACTAAAAGCAACACTAATTTTCCCTTTTTTTTTCCTCTTTTTTTTTTTTTGCATATCAAGTTTGGATTTAAAAAAACAAAAACAAAAAAAGATATATACTTGACAGAGACAGGATAAAGCGTGACTTTTTGTAACAAGTAGCCAATCAATAAAGAATTCTACACTGCCTCCCTCAACTTTTATTGGTTGATTTACCCCAAAATAAGATGTATATGAATTTATGTTTGAAGATTGAAGAGAAACAACTTTCAGCTGCTGTTGCTGATGAACATTTGTGAACATTTTTGATAAGCGAGGTTATAGTGTAATTTCCTCTTCAGCATATATGGTTTTAAATTCTCTTTTTCGTGCTGTCCAGTTCAGTTGTAAGTTCTCGTCTAGCAATCTTTGCTGACCTGCAATCAAATCCTGCACTACCAGTGGAGGGGAATCCCGACCATTTCTTGTACACGGGTAATTTAGA